CTGTTTAGATGTGACTTAGCTCTAAACAAGGAAAGATATTCATACACATGAAGTAATGAGATTAGTCCTGTTATGTGAAAACATCTGAATGCTTTGATCTAAGCCTAAAGCTTTCAATTGTTTGTTTATCATTGAGAAGTTGGTATCTCTAGATCACCAGGAGTCTGGGGGATACATTCTTGCACCAATAGAGTTTATTGAATTTCCATGGTCAAACTTAGTCGTGATTCAAATGAACATAATTGAAATTATTTCAAAGAATGAAGGTAGAACAATCTATTTAAAATCAGGATTTTAGCTGGCAGAAGAGAATTATGATAGATTGCTTCTTGTTCTTCTACATGGGCATTTTCATTTATTACTATTTCAGATCATTCAGTGTTCCAATAAATGGAACACTCATCATATCTCAGAATGAGACCTCCTCTCCTCTCCTCTCCTCTCCTCTCCTCTCCTCTCCTCTCCTCTCCTCTCCTCTCCTCTCCTCTCCTCTCCTCTTCTTTAACAAGGTGAAACACTTTTTTGTTATTACTGTTGAGTGGAGTGTGGACTTATGTGGTAATCACACACACACAAAAAGAAAAAAATGCACATGTATTTTACACTGACTTTGGACTTCACAGAATTACAGAATCACAGGATTGTAGGGATTGGAAGGGGCTGCTGTAGACTGTCGAATCCAACCTCCACTTCTATGTGATCAGTATTTATGTAGAACTCCTCTACATAGCTGCAGTGTCTAAGATACCAAATAGCTTCAGTTATGAATAACCCTTAAATGGAAACCAACAGGATTTGCTCCACTGAAGGTGATTTCCTCATTAGTTGTGCCATTCGGTTATAACTTCTGTTTAAAAAGAATTTTTAGCTAAACAACTTTTACAATAAATGATGCTGAGATTTAATCTTTATGAAAGTGTTTTGATGTTACATTTGGTAACAGTCTGTAAGAGCAATCTAGAGTAAAAGAAAATAGCATCAGTACTTTCTCAAAATGTGTGCTCTTGATTACAAGATGTAGTCAAACATTCCTGGACAACTCATCAAATACACATTATGAACCCATCTCCTAAGATTTTGTGTTTAATTGCAAAAATTTTGTAATTCTTTCACTGTCTGACCTTAAATATGATAGAAGTCCCAACAACTCCAAAGCAGAAACTCTTTTGCCGTGCTTGGGCAAAATGCATACATGGACATTGTTAGATTATTTCTGTATAGATTATTGCTGGTATAACAAGTTGTACTGCAATCTATTCATTCATTTCATAAGCATTCCACGATTTGGAAATGCTTTCATTCTGAAGAATATCTAAGAACAGAAACTTTGTCCAGTGAAATGAAGTGCAGAACAAAGAGTTGTGGAGGCCAGATTAAATCCTTCCCCTGATTGGATCAGAATAATTAATTCCATCTTAAATTTATATGCTGCACTCCAAATTAGTAGTGTCTGAAGGTATGAATTGTCTTAATGTTGCAAGCAAAATATTTAACTTTTCCAAAATATTAAATTCCTTTTGTTCCTGAAGAGAATTTTTGCAACAATGAACCTTGAACAATTAACCTCACAGCTGTGCTTTCAGCAGAAAGTATTTTTTCCCACTTTGGGAAAATCCAAGCTTTTATTCAATTGGTTAAAATTTCTGTTTCAAGGAATGTTGTCTGGAAAAAAAAAAATCTTCATGTAAAATTTTCATTTGTGAAAAAATGACCACATCATGTAGTGAGCTGGTGCATATTCTTTGATCCTCTGTGTTAAATTTCTATTTTGAAATTGTCTGAGTGTGATTTCTAAAGGTTTTGTTTTAAGACTAATTTTCTTGCAGAATGCTATTTGGAAAGCAAAAGAAGAACTGGTACATTATTCATGTAACTGTGTTGTTATTGATGCTGTTACTTCTGTTGATACTTCCCATTTTATTATTTTTATTATTAATAATAATAACTATAGCCCTAATAGCAGCAATGAAATGTATCTGACATTTGGCAAATTCAATCTACTCCATATAAAGTGATTTTTTAAGTAATAACGAGATGGACAAAAAAACATTCAGGAGACCATCTGTTTTTTAAAATATTATCCAGATCACTGAGTCATCAAAATTGATCTGGAAATATCTGAATACACTCTCCTGTGCGATTTGCAGACAGGCCTGCATATGGCAGCACCAGTAGCGTAAGAATTTCTTTGGATACTATAACATTTCTGCTTCTGATAATGTTGAGGGAGATTAAAAAATCCGTTTGTAACATTTTTTTGGATCAGAATTTTCTAATTCATAAATAAAAATTTAGAAATAATTAAACAGAACATACAAACAATAAATATATAGCCAAACAACTAAATGCAGCCATGTATTGGAGGAAGTCAGTATCAGGATATTCAGTAAGGTAGACCAGCACTGAAGAACATTGCTAGGAGGAAAAATATCAACAATAATCTTGTTATATGTTTGCTAGAATGAGAAATACTCCCCATACTTTACTTTAATCGGTCTCAGAGCATACATTTTCAGTTTTGGAAACTACAAAATAATGTATATTTGATTTAGGAATTAATAAAACCATGTGAGATGAGGAAAAAAATTAAAGTCTTTCATCAATAACATGGGAAGTTAATGAATCAAGTCTAGCTTTGGTGCACATGAAGAGTCTTTTATTCTGAGGAGAATGAATTTATTAAGAACATATACTTCTGCTACACTTTTCATTCCATAAAGTCATCTCAACTTTTCAGACTCCCTATGCAGGCTCAGCAAAAGCTGTGTGCCTCAAGAGCTCTGGGACTGACAGCCTAACAAAACTTCTTGCAAAGAGGAGGGCGCACCATTGCCAGGAGAGGGGTTGGGGAAAGTCTTTGTGGGGTGAGACCTGAGGACAGTTTGCTTCCAGCAGCTGAGAAACAGGAGGGCCAATGCCATCTTCAGCAGTTTTGCGCCATGTCTTAATATGTATTTGTTGAATTTTAACTGCTATGTCACAGCATTCAGCTAGAACTGATGTTGAAGACAAGGTTAGCCAAGGTCAGTCTCTTGGAATAACAGCATAAATAGAAAAAAAAGGCATTTCTTAGAACATCTTTGTAAAGTTTTAATGCTTTGTTAAAATCATATAGTTTAACTTTAGGGAAGCCACAAAAAGCAAACAGTTTCAACATAAAACAGAAAAAGATGGAGTCTGGATGAATGTATAATACCAGCAACAGCATGGGAGTTTGCACCTATTCCCCATTTAGCTTCATTGCCTATGTCACCAGTGTAATTAGCACATCCTATAACACCCTGTTATCCACATTATCACAGTCTGACATGTACAAGAAGAGTAACACAACAGAGCAGAGAGTTCACAAGCCTTATGCCCAATTTGTAACATTTTCCTTTTTTCTCATCAGAGGTGTTTAGAATTCTTGAAGAAAGGCACAGCACATACACTTTTGTTTTCCACACTCTTTCTTCCTTCTTCCCCAGTTATGAGCTCCTCAGCTCATAAAATCTGGAACATTGTTCTTTAGACATGTTTTAGCTCCAGACACGCTCCTCCATGGTCATCTCCTCTGTGCAGGCCCAGCAGGAGCTCACAGAGACGTAGGAAAGAAGGAGAAAGCCGAGGGAGATGCAGAAGCGAGATGTGAAGGTGCAAGCCAACAAGAATCCTTTTGTGAAGTTACATCTTTCCAGAACTCTCCTCTCCTTTAGCCCCAGAAGAACAGACAGGTGCTTCAGGGCCATCAGCATCTCCTTAGCCAGGAACAATGTCTTGCTGTGGGCGCTGACCTGTCCTGAATGCCAGAACCTAACTGCTAATGAGTGTCCACCCTTGACCTATGCTTTCTATGCATGGACTGGAGTCCTGCTCGGCTGAGGCAGAAAACAGCAATAAATGGCTGTCAGTCTCGGTGCTCGAAGACATGCCACCTGCCCATTCCCTTCCTGCTTTATTATTATTTGTTCCTCATATTCATAGAATTGTAGAATTACAGAATCATTTGAGTTGGAAGAGACCCTTAAAGGCCATTTAGTTCAACTCCCCTGCAATGAATAGAGACACCTTTAACTACATCAGATTGCTCAATGCCCCATCCAGCCTGACCAAGAATGTGTCCAGGGACAGGACATCTACTAACTCTCTAGGCAAATTATTATTTGTTCCTTATTTTCCTCATAAGCCCAAATCTTCTATTTCTTTTCCCACAATTTCTCCTTGTCCATGAGTTTGAACTTGTACTTTTGAAAAGAATAAATCCATGAATAGCTTTATTTCAGCTGTCAGAGCTTTTATTGTGAAATATAATGCTCCAAAAGAGCACATTTTTACTTTTTATAATGTGAGACAAAGCTGGAGTGAAATAGATCTCACCCACTGGAAGGTAGAGCCCACACACTCATAAAGATTCATTAAATCATCCATTGTGCTTTCCTGAGATGGTCCATGAAAAGTTACAGTAAGCAAACTGAAATCAGTGCTTTTCTGGTGTGCCTATTGCCCACTGCATTGCCATCCCTGCCTGTGGCTGTCATCTGCTCCCACTGGCACAGGGTCTTGGCAACTGCAGAGGTGCTGTTTTCTTGTAAAGAGGGTACTGACCTCATCGAGGCTCTTGTTCCATTCCAGGATGAGGCATTCACTTAGATCTTTACTTGGGATAAGGCTGATGCTGGTTCTGCTAGCAGCTGTTGCAGGCTGGTACAGACAGCTGAGGATGCAGACCTCCAAAGAATACTGAATGCACAAGCAGTGGGACATTGCGTGGTTAGAGCTCATGTGGCTGCAAAGCAGACAGATTACAAAAACAGCAGACCAAGAAGATAATAAATCTTTAAGCTACTTATTGTACAGCAGAACAAATATTTATTCAGTTTGTGTAACCTGATTTTTGCTTCAGCAATCAAACAAGCCACTTGCTTTGCACGTTTTACAGCCAGTGATCTGAATGTTAATTGTCACTCTGTGATTTGACAGATACCATCATCATGCTGACACCTTTTTTATTTTCTTTACAGGACCACAGTTAAGTTTCCTGGCTTCTGAGTTGGATAGATTTCAGGGGCCTCACAAAGAAAAGCAAGGAAAGCCATAAGAGAGCTGATGGTGTTCCTCACTCACAGCCACAGTGTTTCTCAGGGCTGACTAATTTGAACACAACTTCACGCAGCAGATAACGTCACTGGAACAATTACAGACAGTCTGCCTTCAATATCAAGCAAAATGACAGCCTTTTCCCCCTGGCCTTGAAACTCATAAAGATCACTCTGCTGCTGAGGCTCACAGAGCCCGTGTCAATACTTCAATGTGGAAATGATTTAGATGAGGCCTCAGGATGGCAGAGAAGAAGGGAACAGTCCCCTCCCTCTCCCTGCTGGCCACCCTTCTGTTGATGCAGCCCATGATACAATTTAACTTCTGTGCTGCAAGCTTGGACTCCTGGCTTTCGTCAAGCTTTTCATCCACTAGAACCCCCAAATCTTTCTCAGCAGGGCTGCTCTAGAGGAGTTCTGCTCCCAGTGTGTACAGGAGCCACTTCTCAAGATTGTCCAAGTCCCTCTGGATGGCATCCCTTCCTTCTGTCATACCAACTACACCTTTCAGCTTAGAGTCATCAGCAAGCTTGCGAAGGGTGCATTCAATCTATATCATTGGTCTATGTCACTGCTAAAGATGAAGAGCACTGCTTCCAAGACAAACCCCTGAAGGACACCATGACAAATCTCCATCTGGGCACAGAGCTGTTGACCACAACCTTCTGGCTGTGACCATCCAACCAATTCCTTATCCACTAAATATTCCACTCCTCAAACCCATATCCCTCCAATTTAGAGATAAGGATGTGGTGTGGAATTTAACCATACTGCACAGTGCTCATTCCCATACAGTGCTGTGGACCCCTGCAAGGTGTGCAGGTCTCTACTGCTGAGCCCTTCCACCAGCCCATGTGTGAGACCCCACTGCTGGAGTGAAAGGCTCTCAGATGAGCTCAGGAGGCTCTCAGCTGGCAGAAGCCCTGTAAGGGTTTGTAAATGATGGCCATGAGAGCTGTGAAACAGCTCACCCTGCTGTGGCCCTGCTGATGATGAGTTCCCTTTCCCTTCGGAATTACCAAGCTGGCATTAGCAGTCTCTTCTCTTGGATATCTAACAGGCAGTCTCTCTCTCTGTATCTTTTAAGGAGTGTGAGCAGATTTTCAAACAGCATTTGAATAGTACAAACTTGCAGCCAGGAGTAGGCTTGGCTTGGCAGGTGGTTCATGTGGCTGGCTGGGCCTTGGTCTCTTTCTATGAAGAGCAAAGCAAGAAAAGGTGTGTGGGCAGCATGTGATTTTTCCAAAGAATTCTTCTTTGATTTTCATGTTGTTAAAAGATGAGGAGCATTAATGTGTTCCCTTTTCAAAAAATGACCCAATTCTCATTACTTGGCATTTTTTAAATTCAAAGAACTGACTGGTTCTCCAAGATGGGTTATGTTAATGTATGTAATTTAAAGGTGCATTAAAGGGAAGTGAGAGACATCTGAGTGGCTGTACACCTCTGTGCTAACTGGCGGTGCAGCGAGTGTGAACTGGAAAGGCATTAGAACAGCTTTTGTAAAAATCATGTTGTCCCATGGGAAGCAAGATCAGGAGCAGAACAAAGAGAAGGAGGAAAGAAAAGCAATACACAGACCAATTTAAATTTAGAACCTGGCCTGACACTCTACTGAAATGGAAGCAGGGATGCTGAGCAGAAGTTACTGAATGTGTTTCAAGTATCCCATCAAAACAGCACAGGGTGAAAACGATGGCAAGAAGAAAACTACCTGCAGGCTTTAGACACAGTGTAATATTTACAAAAACACATTACTGTTGAATGATGAGGGGGAAAATAAAAGCTCTTAAAAACTGGTTGTGAAAGGAAAAAATTTAGAATGTGTTTAGAACTGTGGTTAGAACTTCTGGAAGCAGCCACTCTTTAATTGAACTTCAATTTAATTGAAGTTGAGCTGCTCTACCATTCCTTCAAAGGCATATGGCTGTCCATTCTGCCAAGGATGCTTTGTGTTGGGGAGTGCTACCAGAGTGCTACCATCACTGGCTGACACTTCCTTCAGGCAGAAAGCTGTCAGCATCAGGCCCACTCAGACAACTTGAGTGTTAAAACAGGTGGAAAAGTCCCATTAAATGAGTGAGCTTGTGTGTGAAGTTAGAAAGAGAGGAAAGGATAGCACTGAAGAGATACCAAAGTGTACCTGGCATCGAATGTGGGCTGCAGTCTTGTCACTGCAGTTTGCAGAGCTGTCAGGAGAATGAGCCGTAAATTGTTATGCTGGAAGAAGAACAGGAGGCCCATTATTCAAAGGAAATGAAGGCACTGCCTCCACTTGTATTCGAAATGGCTGTACTGGCTGAAAACATGCAAGGCCTAGAAGCTTGCACAACTCTTGCACGGAAGAGGGGAAACTTTTAAGAATGAGAGGGCTTAGGTAAACTGGTTCATGCTTTAACATCAACTGCCAATGAAGACATTTTCTCATTGAAGAAATTGCACAGACCTCTGCTGTGGTCACTTTCAGCACCTGGACCAGCCCCAAAAATAGCATAATCCAATGAAATAAGCAAAGGCTGCTTTTTGATCTTACCTCCAATTCACAGCTCGTCCAGGACAGTGTTCTGAAGGAGACAGTGCCTCAAACTCAGTACTAAAGAGCCAAGCTCTCTGCAAGAATAGCCAGAGCTGTGCGTTTGACATCTGACAACCTCTGCACAGTGTGTTTATGAGGGTACAAAGACTTCCCTGATAACGCCTCATTTAAACTGTAGCACGATTTTCAGAAAAATACCTCATCTTCACTAAAGAATTTACCAGTGGATTGATGCTTCCCCAGCAAATCATTGCAAAGGTGAATCACCCACACTGATAGAAAATGCATTTGGTCTCATTTCTGTTCCTGGCTGTCAACTTCTACCTCTTTGCTGTCTGTTTTGAAACACAGTAGACATGCTGTAAGTAAGACCACTTCCATTCCTGTAATTTTTACTGTGCTTTTTTCCCTCTGGTTTCCCTGTTTATCAGTATGATTCTTAAATAAGGGATACTGAAATTTGGTCAGCCTCAATATTATTTTCTATACTGGACTTCACAGGAGCATGCATGGACACCATCAGTTATTTTTCAGAACTATGGGAAGAGACAATTACCACCAGTTCCTTAACAGTATGACATAGAGTGAAGCGTTCGCTGTAACACATTTTGATTCTGCTTCTCCTTTTCAAATCTATTTATGTGTAGAGAAGATTTGCCATCTGCTCCCTCCTTCTATTACAAATAACATTCGGTATTGACACGAACCAATGGATTCTATTTAATTTCCTCATGATTTTCCCCCAAGCATTCTTTTGAAGAAATTTATTTACCTCGTGCTCATCGATGTTTGCAATGTAACAAGTGAAGGGGACTGTCATTTGGACTCATACGGGGGAGTCCTATCACACAAAAGAGCAGGTTGACATGGATTTTCTGTTTTTATTGCCAGTGAAACATGATTTTCAAGCAGTTTCAGGGCATCTTGAGCATTCATTAATTGCTTCAGGTTTATTGTTGATGGAAGGAAAAAGCACAGAAGTGGTCTTAGCAGAGGTTGCAGAGTTAATCTGAAGTCAAAGAGATGAATTCTGACATTGTTCAAACTGTTAAGGTTTCTCTCATGAAAGGAATACAATATGGCATTAAGACAGAGAGCAATTTTAATTTTTCATGCTGTATATTTAGCACAGTCAATTTTATATACAACCTGACACTTAGGTCCGGCTTCACAGTATTGCTGGATTTACAGCTACACCTTTATGCAAACACTTTCTGTTTAATTTATGTGAAGGCAGATGCAGAAGCTCTGAGAGCAATGCTGCTCTCAAAATAATTACATAAAGGACACAGGAATGCAATTTCTTGTTTTCCTATGAACTGAGTTACGCTCTATTTCTATGGACAGTGTGAATTTGGTAGAGCTCCCTGGAGCCGTGGTACCCATGGGTCATCTCAGCAATGAAACAAAAACCCCATGAAGCGCCTCTCCATGCTACCTGCTTCTTTCTCCATGCCCACCATGTGCCCACCATGGTCTCCAGGAAGGTTCTTTTAGTGCTTGGCTTATGAGATAAGTAATAAAAGTTATAACAGGATTTGGGGGAAATGGTTTTAGTGTTTGGATTATTCTCTCATCAATTTCTTCCTTTTTTGCTTGTTTTATTTCTGGATTCCCATTCACATGATACTATTGGGTATCATACAGTCAGGATCTTGGGAGAATACAAATTCCTACTTATACATATTTGCTTCAGGACAAAGAGAAATGTTTTCCTGCAATTATTTAACTCATGATTTCCATTATAACTTGGGCAGGCAAGCCATGCTAATCCTTGCATCTTTTGAAAATCCAATCTTAGGTTCACTGTATGGCACATATAAATTTATGATAGTAAGTCTGGAAACAAAAACTTGAAATTTACAGTTTGTTAGTCAAACAAAACATTTACATTTGTTCCTTCTTCCTAATGCCTTCCTGTAATAAGATTTAGTCTGACAAAGCATATGATGAATTTCAGCATGCCAGGCTTCACATTTAGAATTCAGCTTCTGCTAGATTGCTTGACTGCCTTCTGAGGCATATTAAAATAAACAAAAAATTGTATTTTAATGCTTTATTTATCTTTGCTCCGTGCTTAATATAATTATTACAGGCATACATTTTTCTTATTAAGAAGTTATGATCCAGGACCAAAGTTCAGTCTTCTGCTCTGTTCTGTGGCATGGAGGAGGGAACACATTCTAAGTCCCACCCTGCTGTTAGATGCATATTGATGATGGAAAAAATCTGAACACTTATTCTGTCTAAAAAGCATACTAACTGCCTTCTTCTTCTTCAAAATGTGTTTTGCTGATGGCAGAAATATATGATTTTACAAAATATAACACAATAGGAGGCAGAAGCTTATGAAGATTTGCAAAGGAATACAGTCTTGTCTGTATCAAATTTTTATCCTTAAATGACCGGGGCTATGGATATTCCTATCTCTCTTTGGGGAAAGGATATTCCAGAATGGAGATGTTCTGCAGTGAGAACATTGTACAATTTGGCCAATGGCCTCACCTGGCTCTGCTCCCCCTGAGGGCTTACACCCCATTATATGGCTGCAGGCACTGGGCTCCTGAGTCTCATGGGCAATATAGATGCATTTCCTGCAGATGTGAACAGCAGGCCCCATCTGTTTGCTGCAGCTCTGATGTACTGCT